GGAGGAAAATCTCTTCTGTGGGGCCCAGTAGACTTCTGCTGCTCAGGGAGGAGGGGACAACAAAGGACAATGGGGTTCGTGGAAGAAAGCGTTCTGTGTTGGCAACGACAAAAAGAAACTCTTTATTTTGAGGAAAATTTAGCTAAATTAAACTTCAGGGCAGGAAAGTACGGTTTTCATACTTCTGGGGTTCTGCCTGTCAGCTGAAGAGTACGAGGTCTGTGGTGAGGTGGCTGCAGGAGCCGACATGTGCTGGAACAAACCCAGAGTCAGACAGCTGGCACCGCTCCCACCCTCACATCTCTGCTCCACGCCACGATCAAAAGGCTGTCAGATACTAATGAAGTCTTAATGCATCATTTCCTATTCACACTGACTCATGTGAGACATCTTGGGCAACTGAGTTTCGTTGATCACATACCGAGGCTCCTTCTGCAGTGATCAGCTATTCCAGAGTCAGAACAACTGAGTTAGGATCCTGGTGTGAATTACCATCTTTTCAAACCTTTCTCCACCGATTTTACATGGAGCTTTAGGGGTTCCAGCCACTTTTCCCTTAACAGTCAAGTCAGATGTCTGAAATTAGACAATGAATAGCCTTGTAAGGCTGTAACTTATCTCTGAAAACTCGTGTGTGCTGCAATTAATGGCTTGTGGTGAGACATGGCCCAGGGGCCCAGAAGAGCCACAGGCACAGAATTACTGCTGAGTCAGCAATTTCATCTGAGCTGGTACCTCCACTGCATGATGGAAATCTCATGGAAAGGACACTCAACGGAAGGAACATCCAGGACACATGCCCTGTCCCTGAAGACTTTTAGGACAAAGCTGGATCAAGCCCTGGATTTAGCTGTGCATGTCTCTGCTCATTACAGGGGAACTGGACTCGATGACTTTTAAAAGTCTCTTCCAACTCTAAGGATTCTATGACATTCTGAAGAACAGGAAATGAAAGAAGGTTTAAGGACAATTCTTCTGCAATATCATTTAATAGCCCTTGGTAAGGCAGCGGCAGCAGGAAGGTTCACAAGCAGGTCCTTTATTCCCTTAACATCCTTAAATTATTGGTGGTGTTAGAACTGTAAGAAATTCAGGCCTATTCTGCTCATACCCTGTACTTACAGCTGATTTGTCTTACATTGACTCACATCATATGACAGATCATAGGAGCAGTATCCTACATCACCTGAGTAAGAATGAAAAGGAAGTCCTCACTGTGCTGAAATCAGTAATAATTTGGCCACAGTATCATCTCTGGTGCTTCCTTTCCACGTTTATGCCAGGTGGTTTGCAATGGAGCCAGAGCAGAGTGAAATTGTCAGGCAGCTCTCTTCCAAGGTCTCTGGCTTCCAGGGGAACGTACAAGGAAAAGAACTGATGTCTGGAGGGAAACATTCCTATCTGCTGAGTCCTAAGGACATGCCTCATAGAGCACCCAGTTCTCTGACACTGTCATTAATTTGTTAATTAATTGGAGCGCAGCTTCTGAGCTCCATTTAGCCAACTGAAAGGTTGGGGTTTAGTCTCACCACCCCCTGAAGGTGCACCCAGAGGGTGATTGGCAGCTGCAGGAGATGCATTATTCATCCTATCTCTTTGTGTATAGGTATTAGTATGAGAATAGTCAGTCTGTGAGATGTGTAATACTGTGCAGAGATTTATGCAAGATCCTGAGCAACCATCCTAGACAGGGTACCCACCTCTCAGGTGGTTAATGGAATGAGTGGGATCCCATCACACTGACAATGGAGAACAGCTCCATCAGTGTGCTTGAAATACAGCAACATGCTGGAAGGTACAGCAATAATAGTGGGGTGGCACAATCGCAGGCTGCAGCAAATGAGGACAAGCCCACAGGTAGAAGCCACAAACACAAAGGAAGAAAATCTGCTTACCTTCAGAAGGCCACAGGCAGGCAGGGATCTCCAACAAGACCCCCTCACCTCCACTGCCAACACTTAAATGAGGTCTGGGAAGGGGTGGGTCCTGGCTCCATCCCTTCTGGTCACTCAGCTGTATTGCATGCAGCTGAGCTCCCCTGGGTTGGCCCTGCCTTCCCACCAGGTGCTCAATCACTACTTCAAGCCATGACTTAGCAATTCCACTACAGCACTCTATTAATGCACCAACAGGATGCAATAAACACCTTCCTAAATTCAGCGACTCTTTTTGCGCTTCATAAGTTATGAAAATGTTTTACAGGTTATCAGCAGTGCTCACATCACCCATAACTAGAAGCACTGGATTTAAAAGCCTACGTTGATGCCAACTGTTCCCCTTTAGAAATACAACTGCTCCTGGGGGAGAGAAGGGAGCCCACAGACTTTACAACACAGTTGATGCTGGAAGCACGTGGGCCCATACACAAAGAGCAGTGCGAGCCTGTGGTTTCAAAATATTTAAACCTAAATATTCATGCATGGCATATTAAGAACAACTTTTTTTTTTTTTCTCTTTTTTCCAGGACAGTTAGAAATCAGAGGCATTCATTCAAACCTTCGAGAACTGTGACTAATTGTACCCCATACACGGGCAAATATCGGCACATGTGCAGTGGAAGAATTCCCTGCTATTCAAGGCAAGCAGTTGTGTGCTCTCAGAGCCTACAGCCTGTGCTCGTATTGTTACCTGCACACAGCACGGCGACGCACAAGGTCAGCGGTAGACTGCGCTCCTATTGTTGGTGTTTGAAGAGGGAACATTTTATCCTTCACAACAAATCTACATATGGGCTATTGAATGAAATACAATAGCCTCACTACATTACTTCATCCATTAGCTAGATGCCTGTAAGAAAAATAAAGCTGTAGTTTTTTTAAGATCCATTATGGATTGTGAGGTAAACAACTTGCAGTCAGGCTGAAAACTGCTATCTGATCCCCAAAGCAGACAATTTTTCGGTTTGTATCATTCAGGGGGAGGTAGACGACTTCCTTTAGCATTATTTAGTACTGTTTTGGGGGGGCAGGATGATGCCATTTGTCAGTGTTGTGTACACAACCAAGGAGACATACTTTAGGAGCATTGTGAGCAGCAGTGATTTGGAGAATGGCACATCCTTGGTGCAAGCAGCGGCTCCTGCACTGCCAGGAGTGTGCTGCCAGATCCTGGGGTTCTGCCAAATTCCTCCACTTTGCCCCACAGTAGGCAGTAATAACACTGCTTGCTCTTTATCCTGACCCAGTCGCTGCCAAGCACTTCTCACAGCATCAGCAATTGCACATCGATAAGGCAAGAGCCCTGCTGTTGAATGGAAGAAGGGAGAAGGAGGAGAAAGATGTTGTTGCTTCTCTTTCTTTTTTTCACCCCTCTCACACTCAGCTGAAGAGGTCTTCCCCAGTATTTCATGTCCCTTTGAGCTCAGGGCTCAACTCCATGCTGAAGACCTAACATGACAGTGATTCTTCAAGGATGCGATCAGCAAACGTGGGGGATAGAGAAGCAGATATGTTGACACAGCAACAAACTCTCCTTCAAGCAGCCCTCATATTAGGAGGGCTGCCTGCTCTGTGTGCCATGGATCACCTCAGTCTGGCCAAGGGAACAGGAATTTTGCCCCAGCATTTGCAGTGGGGTGTTGAAAAGGGTGCATCACACAGGGGTGAGACGGTTGGGTGGTTTGGGTTGGGCAAGGAGGGGACTCAGCATCATCAGAAACTGAAGCACAGTGAGTGGGATGTATGTGGCAAGTGAAAGGCAAGGTGTGCATCTTCTGTAGGTGAGGAAGATGAGTGCAGGAGGGTCTGAGGGAAACCTCTTAGGTTGGAAAGGATTATGCACTCCTGGCACAGGAGCAAACCTGGCATCCTCCTGTCCTCTCCCATTAGAAACGTGAGCCTCCTCCAGCAAGGAACAGCACGGAGTCTGTGAGCATTACACACTGCACAGGCCAAGGGAGCTGCATCTCTGCTGGGCATCTCTAGATGGGCAGAGGTTGCACGAGGTGCCCTGTGTCTGCATGTAAAAAGGAGCTGTGATGGGAGGAGACATTCCGTTTTGAGGACTCTCTCTTTGAGCCTGAACCAACTAAAACACAACGCAGATGGAAGCAGGAGGCCAAGCACTGCTTGTTTCTTTGATGTGCAGAGCACAGGCATCGCTTGGGCCATGGTGAGGCCCTGCTCTGCTAACAGCCTGTTGAGGAACCAGGCAGCGGAGAGGACAGGCAAAGGCAATAGATAGGGATCCCACAGGCATCACCCCTAACCCGAAGTGTCCACTGCCATTGTTCAAATATCCCCTTTAAAACAACCAAAGTTCCTGTGCTTCCTTACAGCCTTGGTTCAGCCTGTAGCTCATCTCACCATCCCTCTCTCTGGTCTCTGTGAATCAAAGCATTGCATTCCCCACAGGCAACTTGCCCCTCAAAGCTTCTTCCACTGCCCCAGCATCACCTCCCTCTGCTCCTTCAGATCTGTTTCTTGTGCAGAAAATTTAATTAAAGCCTCTCCAGGAGCCTCATGAGCAAGTCAATACAGTGCCCAAGGTAGGATGTGTTAAAATAAGGTTTAAAGTGAGTAGGTATGAGAAGAACTGGAAGGATGGTAGGCTTTGCTGTTAAGGATCTGGAGAAAGGCACGATCCATCACTCCCTACTTAGGTCTACTATTAAGGAAAGTGTCCGTGCTCTCACTGCAGTCATTACAGATCCAGTCTATACACTCTTATCCCTAAATCTGCTGACTGTAAAGGCAGATCTTCATCAGCAGTCACGGAAATTGATCGGGGCAATAAGGGGGCAATATCCCACAGCCCACCCAATCAGCTGTGTGATTCTGGCCATATGGAATAAGCTCATCTGTATGGTCTGTAGTCTTCTTTCTCAATTACCCTGCAGCTGTATCTGTTCCAAAAATAACAGCTAGCTCCTTCGCATTTTGTGATTGTGCCATCATAATTAAAATAAATTCCAGTCTCCAAACAGCAGTTGTAGGAGCCCATCAATTTCAGGGGGAGGGATGGAAAAACATTTTTTCCAAATTATATTCACTCCAGCCTACCTGGTTTCAAAACTGTCCTTGATTCAATTTGGTTGCTGTGGAAACAGCCATGACATCAGACTTGGGAGTCGTGACATCGTCGAGTGAATAATCTCATGCTGGAGAAGGCAGCTGGAAAAATAGAGCAAACAAATGTGTTTATCCACAAATGCTCCTACCATGAGGAACTGGAATCTCCAGTGGTAATTTACCACACATTGCTAATGCGTTTGTTATAATATATTTCTTAATTCTTTTTTCTTTTTTTTTTGGCTGGATATGAAAGTTCATCAGGGCTGGAACAAACAGGGGAAGCATATTGAAATGAGCATTACAGATCTGTCGTGCTCTAGTTTATGGTCTTTTCTCAGTGATACACAGTAAGTAAAACAAGCACTGATTGAGTCAGCTGCCTCCTGGGTGTTCATTTGCTGTAGTGTGAGGAATATTAATGCTAAGTACATCCGTGTGCATCAGGAAAGGCAGGAGGAGGCAAGCAGATTACCCCGGCTTAGGGGTATTATACACGCGTCTGCAACTTCCAAAGACACAGAGAGGAAACATTTCTGTGGGTTTTTGTCTCTTATCTTCTTACAGTCTTATAGATTTTGGAGATGCATTGCCCCGGAGTTTTAATACTCAGAGTTTTTCAGGGGGGATTGTGATTTATTTTTTTTTTTAAATCCTTCTTTCTACCGAAGGAAAAAAAAAAGAAAAAAAAGCAAGCAGTGAAATTCATCAGGATAAAGAAAAAACAGATTCCAAGAGAAGAAAGAACAGGTGAAAAAGAAAAGTTTGATTAAAATCCCCTCTTGTTCCATGTGTTTGATGTAAATATCTTCACACCTTTCTCTTCCTTGCAACCTCAGCAGAGGGTTCAGCCCGTCACCAGGGGATTGAGTTCCAGGCTCAGGGCTTTGTAGTTGCTGCTGCTCTTGCTGCTGTTGTCTAAAGGGATTATAAGCCTTTGTAAAGCTTGTGTTAATACCCTAGAGGGGAAAAATAAGTTTCCAAATAACCTTTTTTTTGGTGCATCCCCTGGCTAAGGGACCCTAGCAATAGAGAAATTAGGATGTGTTTCGGCTTCAAGAGCAGGCCACTTGATGTTCATGAGCCATGCGTGCTGCCTGTGTGCCCCAGCCTGTCCCAGGTGTCCTTGTGCTGCTGACACCGGGACCCATGGGGAGCAGCACTGCACTGCTCTGCTCACCAGGGAGAGCGTTTCATCTGAATTGGGTGCTGGGCTCCCACCGCATCCTTCAGCACCTTATGCTCTGTATGTTCTTTGGCAAATCCCAACTCAGGATCCAACTCCACAACTTCACTCTGACTCTCTGCATCCTTTTTTAATATCTTTTTACCCTGCAGCAGGATTGGTTTTGAGCCACATCGCACTGCTTCCCTTCAGATGCACTGCAAAGATGCTAAGGAGCGCATTGCTGGGTGCTGCAGGGCTGTGCCATGCTCAGTGCCAGCCAGCAGCCTGGCCCACCAGGTGAGGGGTTGCCCAGCAAGGGCTGCTGCAGGTGCTCAGAGGTTGGCCCAGAATTTGGATGCTACTCAGTGCTTGCTTACATCACGGTCACCCATTTCATCCTGCTCTACCAGCCTTTGGGAATGGAAGTGAGAAAATGAAAGTGGAGAGGAAAAGTGCTGAAAGAAGGGAGAGATGTGAAGGGGCAGTTCTTTAGAAACTGAGACCTCTAAGCATCTCATACAGGTGCTTTCCATGAGCTCTGGACTAGGGTTGGATTGAAGAGGTGAAGGCAGTGCAGCCCATCTTTGTAGGGCTGACACAAGCATCCAAAGCAGAGCTGCTCAGATACATTCCTCGTTGCTACCAGGCAGTGTTACGTGACAAGAGGCTCATCCCTGCAAACACAGAGCACAGGAGGAGGCAGGGAAGCCTGATGAGAATGACAGGACCTGGACAGGGCTGGCACCAAAGCACATCAGCCCCATCCCTTACCGAGACCCCACCAAGATCAGGACCAGGGATATGGGGCCCATGTTAGCCACAGGGAAGAGCCTTCTGGAATAGCACAAGGTTTTGCACAAATCTGTTTCTAAATTTTCCTAAATATATTTTTCAGACATGTTGATACATCGTTTGAGAAAAGCACAACTCCCCAATTACTATTTTGTCTGCACTGGTGACAATTTCAAAACGATACTGAAACACAGTCATGATTAAAATAAAACTTTTTGATTGACTCAAATCACTTTTTTCTTACAAACTGTCCGCTAGCAATTTTGGCTTTTTTAGAATAACACTCAGATTTGGAAAGGAAGAAAAAGAAACTGAGTTTTTGGATAGGAGCAGAAGTTGTTTCCAGCACACCCTTTCCATAAGACCATCTGCTCTTTTGTTCCCAGGTTGGATGCGCAGAGCTTTGTGCCAGCTGCAGCAACAAGCCAGCACCGTGTGCAGGTAGTGCACAGCTCCAAGCAAATAGGCTGCCCATGGAAGTGGAAGAAAAGATTCTGCTTTGCAAAACCAAGAAGGCAAAAGGAATCTAATACGTGCTCACAGAGATGTTACAGAGCAGTGAGAGGGAAGCAGCCTGTGGCATGGGCACCAGAGCAAGCTCACCCTGGCTTCATAAGGAATTGATCTCTGGAATGAGTAACAGTGCCTCAGGGGCAAAACAAAACCATATTTCTTCATTGTTAGTATTCTGCATTTTTACATAATTAACATAAGCCTTAACGATTCTCCAGACCTCTCTTCTACAAGCCCACGTATTTATGGAAATGCTTCCTTCTCGGTCTCCTCCTCTTTTCTCTTCTCTGGGTATGCCCACTGATTTGGAAGGCTTAGCATGTATCTTTTCTTTCTCCATCAACCCTTGGCCTTAAAGCATTAAATCAGAGTTCTCTGGATCTGCCACACCATGAAAATATTTAGTGGATATAATGTTTATCTGTGATTCTTGATTCACTCAACCCATTCTCTAAGGGAATCTCTCCCAACATGCCCCCCAGTACTTAGCTGTGAAAATTACTTTCCCTTCTCCATGACTTTGTCAGTGCAGGGAACATCACAGCCTGCTTCAAAATGCTGCACTGCACTTCTCAATGGTATTTTATGACACATTTTTCAAATCAAATTTAAAAGCATAACTGAGTGGAATTAAATTAATGCCGTCTGGTAATGTCAGCAGCACCGGAGCTGTGCATGGCTGGCTTAGCTTCTAAACCTCTGGCAGCTTCCTGGGACTTAGTTCTGACTTCGGGGAAATAGTGAGCATTGCCACGTGAATTATTGAAAAAACTGTATCTGTGGGAATAAATATGTGGTAGTGAGGTGTTGGCAGGGGGTCGATGGGGAAGATGTTGGTAAGGTATATGTGGGTATGTTCCTGTGTACGTCTGGGGAAGGAGGGTATGTGAGTCCAGAATAGGGATCCATGGGGGTTTCAGTGTGATGGATGTAGATGTAGAGGGATGGGAATATCCCTACCACTACCTTGGTAAACCTTACTGTAGTTTGCTGAAATGTAGTTATTCCACCCCAGAAATGAGCATATCGCAGGGCTGATTCTGATAATGGACATGGTAATGAGTCAGAATAGCAAAATGTTGCATCTCCAGATCACTGAGCAGAATGCACGCTTTGTACCTGTGTATATTTTTGTCTGTGTGTAGTCAGGAGAGTCTTCCTGTAGCATTTGGGCTGCAGCACTGCTAAAGCAGCCCTATATGATGGGATGGATCGTGGACATATGCAGGCACATGCTTAAAAGTAGGTTCACATACCACTCTTGCAGGCTAATGTGTCTGTAGATGTCTTAATGCTTATTCTACTGACAAAGAATTCACAAATACCTGTGTGAAATGGTGTACGTATGGGCACAATCTCACTTGTGTACAGCCAACATCTCCCATTTTCTCTCTCTGTTTTAAATACAATAATTCCAGATTTATTTTTTCACATTGTGAAAGCAGCCCATGATAATTTTAGCTAAAATTAATCCAAGAATATATAGCATGGGATGTATTTCATCAGTGCCTTTTCATTCACTCATTCAATTCCATGAGGGGCACTCAGGTGCCCACAGGCAGAGGGAGAAAATTTCTGCTGGTAGTATTGCAGAGAGATGTATGTTCCTCTCTTTAGAAAACACAATATGCAAACACAACAGCAGCCCTCTCCCATAAAGCACAACCTGTTTATAGTGGGAATCTCATCACCTTAACGCCATGGTGCCTTGTCCTCATCACTACACTTGTGCTGGGGGTATTGTCTCCTGGATGCTTTTGTGACAAGAATACCTTGAGGTCAGGTAATGCATCTGAATAGAGCATTAGAGATATGTATGCTTTTCTATTAATAATAAAGCTGTCTTAGATTCACTTGGAGATGTAGGAGCACAGAAATAGAAGAGTATATAAAAAAATGCAAAATTTGATGAGAATTCATCCCAAGCAAACCTAAGCACAATAGATAATAATGAAACCAGAGGAATTTTCTGCGTGAATCTGAGATTCAAAGGTGGGGATGGAATTAAAAAAAGATTGTAAGGCTGCACTGCTTACTTCTGGCCTATGAAGGACTCAAATAGTGCGACACAAGATTGAAATAAAGTTCTATAAGCTGTTCTTAATGCACAGGAATTGATATCAGCTTGGCTGAACTGCGGAAATTTTGTATGCTAGGCAGGGCAAGATTCATTCCCTTAATTTAAGCATCTAGATGTTCAACATCTAATTGTGAGCCAGCCACTCTGGGCTCCCTTTACATGCAGGAGGGAGAAGCAGGCTCCCCACAAGATGCCTCATTCTGTTCTTGAGAGCAGTGCCTAACCAGGGTCAGGGGAGCGGCAACGAGGAACGCAGACCCAGACTGCAGAGAGATGGGGGTGATTATCTCCGAGCTCTCACTGTAAGACTTCTGAAGGGAAAGGAGATGAATCCTGCCCTCAGCAGCTATTACATTCCTGGGGGTTAGGGTGCTTAAAACATCTCTTTTTTGCTAGCTTGAAAGACTCCATCGCTCTCACTGAGAGACAATTTCATGCTCTTAAACAAAGTACTAAGGCATGAAAGTACAATCCAAGTCTGCTCTTTCCGTAGGGCTGAGTAGGGCTAGTTAAAGAAAAGGGCCATAAGATGTGCTTTGCATTGAACTG